TTGGTAACCTCATGCCTCGACTTCTGTAATGCGCTCTACATGGGGCTAACCTCATGCTTGGTTCAGAAACTGCAAATGGTTCAAAATATGGCAGCCAGATTAATATCTGGTACATCTAGGGGGGACCATATTACCCCGGTATTGAGGTCCCTCCACTGGCTGCCTGTTAGTTTCGGATCCCAGTACAAAGTGTTGGTTATTACCTTTAAAGCCCTAAATGGCTTGGGTCCAGGCTATCTTAAGGATCGCCTCCTCCCGTATAATCCTCCCCGCACCCTCCGGTCCTCTGGGAGGAATTTGCTACAGCCTCAAAAAACGAGGCTGGTGACGACCTCCCAGAGGGCATTCTCTGTAGTTGCCCCTAAACTCTGGAATGGCCTGCTGGAGGAGATCCGCCAATTGCCATCACTTGACAGCTTCAAGAAAGCTGTCAAGACGGATCTCTTCCGGCAGGCCTTCCTGGATTAATTTACCAGCTCTGGCTCCAGGATTTCCCTCCGAGACGCTTCCCTCTTCTGTGACCGGGCTCCGCTATGAGCCAGTAGTTACACATCTGCCAGCATTTTTTTGTTATGTTTTTGTATGTTGTTTTTATGGAGGAATCTACCTCCTTTATATTCTGTTTTAAATTGTAATTGATTTAATAATTTTTAAGGGGGGGAGGGAATTGTTCTTAACTACTGTATGACGATTTTATGATGTAAGCCGCCTCAATTGTGCTCAGAGGGGCGGGGTATCAAATAAATATTATTATCATTATTAACTCTATGAAAGCTCATGCTACCAATTTCTGACTTTCAGTTAGTCTGAAAGGTGCTGCAAGATCTCTTTGCATACTGATTTTCCATACTATGGAGATTATCGCACCGGCTGTTTTCTCCCAAACTGGACAGGGAGACTGTGTAAAAATGGATGTTATCACACAGCTTTGTGCCCAAATCAGAGGCATCCTGTACCCAATCAGGACTTCTCCTCTTCTGAGCAAAAAACCCAGTTCTTTTCCATTCATTGCTCAGTACTGGAGAGGTCCTGATCAGGTATGGGATGCCTCTGATCTGGGCACGAAGCTGTGCGATAACATCCATTTTTATATAGTCTCAGCCCATGCCCAGATCAGGGGGGAAAGCTGTGCAAACATCTCCTATGTCTTTGAATCCTTCTACATAATCACCAATTGTAATGTAGAATGGAAGTAGAGCAACACTGTTGGCAAGGACTTAATACCTTTTAGGAAGGCAATAAAAGGGAGGGATATGTGCAGGATTTGGTTGATGTCTGGTCAAATCAAACCATTTTAGCATAATTCTGCAATAACATAGAGAGTGTGTCTCTATCACTTGATTAATTCAAGTGTTGCTCACAGTCTACATGTATCCTCCCAGGGCCCCAGTGTGGCACTCATGACACTTTATCTCCTGTCCCTTTAATTAATTTTATTGCATCCCTATAAAGCCCTCATTCTATGTAGAGGCTGTAGGAGACAATTTGTCATACCTCCCCCACAAGATGTTTCAGGATCTTTTTCCAAAACAGAAAGTGAATTTTGGTCACTACCTGATTACAAGGATATGGAGACTTTTCAGTGGGTTTTTAAAATAGGGGTAGGATAACCATTTCAGCATAGTTCCATGCCCTCGGGATTCCAACCAAACCTGACCCCTAGGGATGACCCTTAGGATGTCATTGAACATTATGCATTAAGTATCCATCAAGTTGCTCACAGTTTGTCATTCAAACACACGTGGAGAAAGAGAGGACATGTTTTTCCCTGTTTGAGAATTCAAGAGAGAAATGTGAGCTAAAGGGTCTGACCCCATATATGAGATGATGGGATTGTTCCTTCTCAAAATCCTCAAGGTCTAGCAAATTCCTCACTTGCCTTGAAGACAAT